AGAGGAGGCATGCCCATTCCCAGACATAAATACATTTGTCTCAGTCTCTCTGCTCCTACACAGGATGTGTGCCTTTTAAACAAAAATTATAAGATGAAGAAAACAAGAAAAATAACACACTGTCACAAGACAAAGGAATCAACAGAATCAAACTCAGATATGATCCAGGTGTTGGAACTGTCAGATGCAACTTAAAATAACTGTGATTAATATGTTAAAGCCTCAAGTAGAAAAGGTAGACAACAGATACCAACAGATGGGGAATATCAACAGAGAGTTGGAAGCTCTAAGAAAGAATCGAATGGAAATCTAGTAATTAAAAACACAGTATCAGAGGTGAAGAATGCCTTTAATGGATTTGCCAGTAGACTTGCAAATGTTGAGGAAAGAATCAGGAAATGTGAAGATAAATTGCTAGAAATTTACCCAAACTGAATCACAAAAATAAAAAATCATGGGAAGAAACCCCACAAAACCCCCCAGGTCACCCAAGAGCTGTGGATCAATTTCAGATGATCTAATATGTGCAGGTAGAATCAGAAGGAAAAGAGAGGGACTTCCTTCGTGGTCCAGTGGTTAAGACTCCGCGCTCCCAGTGCAGGGGGCTCGGGTTCGATCCTTGGTCAGGGAACCAGATCCCACATGCTGCAACTAAAGATCCTGCATGCTGCAACTAAAGGATCCCGTGTGCCACAACTAAAGATCCCACATGTCTCAACGAAGATCCCACACGCAGGATCCCTTCGTTGCTACGAAGATACCATGTGCTGCAACTAAGACCTGGCGCAGCCAAATAAATAAATATTTTTTAAAAAAAAGAAGAAAAAGGTTTTTAAAATGAATTCGATGGAACAAAAATATTTTTCAAAAATAAAGGAGAAATAAAGTCCTTTAGACAAACAAAAACTGAGAGAATTCATTACAAGCTTACCTGCCCTACAACTTGAATCTACACAAAGAATTGGTGAGCACTGGAAATGGAACAAGTGAAGGTAAATATAAAATAAATTTTGTTTTTTAAATTGTTCTAAAGAATGATTAAGTGCTCATGGATAGACCATATTATGGATCAGAAAATAAATCTTAAAAAATTTTTTTAAAATTTAAATTATACAAAGAATATTTTCTAACCATAATGGAATTAAATTAGGAATTAATAACAGTAAAAAGTATCTGGAAAATCCCCATATATTTAGAAATTAAACAATACACTTCTAAATAGCTTGTTGGATCAAAGAGGAAGTCTCAGAGAACATGAGAAAACATTAAAAAAATTTTTTTTTAATTGAAGTATAGTTGATTTACAATGCTGTGTTAGTTTCTGGTGTACAGCAAAGTGATTCAGTTATACATATATACGTATATTCTTTTTCATATTCTTTTCCATTATGGTTTATTACAGGATACTGAATATAGTTCCCTGTGCTATACAGTAGGACATTGTGTTTTATCTATTTTTTATATAGTAGTTTGTATCTGCCAATTCTGAACTCCTAATTTATCCCTCCCCTAACCCCCTTTCCCCTTTGGTAACCATAAATTTGTTTTCTGGAAAACATTTTGAATTGAAAGAAAAATTATTAAATATATCCAAATTTACAAGTTGCAGCTAAATCAGGGATTAGAGAAAAATCTATAGCACTAAATGCTTATAGTAGAAAAGAAAAAAGGCTTCAAGTCAGTGATCTAAGTTTTTACCTAAAGGTAGCAAAAAAAAAAAAAAAAAGAGCAAATTATCCCTAAAGCACGCACGAGGAAGAAATAATTAAAAGTGAAAATCAGCGAAATTCGTTATTGTTCTAGAGGTCCTATAGCCAATGCAGTAAGGTGAGAAAAAGAAACAAATGGCATATGGATTGGAAAGGAAGAAATACAGATGTCTGTATTCACAGAGAGCATGATTTTTTTATGTAAAAAACCTGTATATTAAAAAATGTGGGAAGGGGACTGTGTGTTAATGTCATAAAAGACAAAGGCTGTTGGAAATGCTCCAGGTTAAAGGATACTGAAGAGACATGACAAAAAAATTCAATACCTGCTCCCAGATTAGATCCTGAGGGGAAATGCTACAAAGGACATGAATGGATCAACTGACAAAATTAAAATATGGATGGAAGGTTAGACAGAAGTCTAACGTGACACCCAACCTACACACATCCTAACACAGCCCATATCTATATGAAATTATGAAGGTGATAACTGCTGTTATAAAAGAGAATTTTCTTTTTTAATTAATTAATTATTTTTGGCTGCATCGGGTCTTCATTTCTGTGCACGGGCTTTCTCTAGTTGCAGTGAGCGGGGGCAACTCTTCTTTGCAGCGCACGGGCTTCTCATTGCAGTGGCTTCTCTTGTTGCAAAGCACGGGTTCTAGATGCGCGGGTTTCAGTAGTTGTGGCATGTGCACTCAGTAGTTGTGGCTCGCAGGCTTAGTTGCTCCGCGGCATGTGAGATCTTCCCGGACCAGGGCTTGAACCTGTGTCCCCTGCATTGGCAGGCGGATTCTTAACCACTGCGCCACCAGGGAGGCCCCTGGTTCACGGATTCTTAACCACTGTGCCACCAGGGAAGTCCAAGAGAATTTTCTTAGTCTTAAGAAATACTGAAGTATTTAGGGGTAAAGGACCATGATATATATAACTTATCCTCAAATGGTTCAGGAAGAAAAAAAAAACAACTATGTAGAGAGACAGGAAGAGAGCAAGAGAGTGTAAGTACAGATGATAAAAGCAAATCAGAATAAAATGTCATAGGTAAATCTAGGTGTTTCCTGTACTCTTTTTATTTTTGTAACTCTTTGTAATTTGAAATTTTTTTTTAAGTTTTAAAAAACATTCTTCAAAAATGGCAAAAGAAGAGAGCCATCATATTTGAAGTTAGAAATCACTTTTCTCCCAGTAAGCACTGTGAGGGATGAGGTAATGTCTGCCTCCAGAACAAAGACAAGTTTGCTTACTGCTTATTATAATACATCAGTTTCCCCAAGCCCAGTGTTCCTCTCCTATAATGCAGCCCATTGTGTGTGCAGCCGTCCATCTGGGCCCTCTGTGTTGCCCTCATGTGAACTGACACTAACATAGTGATGATCGTGCTCCTTGCTGGGCTATGAGTAAAGTCCTTTGTCTCTGACACAGCGTCTCATGTCTTCTGCCAGCACCTATGAACAAGTAACGGGATAACTTTTTAGATGGGAGGGGTAAAGTCAGATCCCAGACCTGATAGTCTAGTCCTCTGAACATGTCATCCTCATTCCTATTTTTGTCTTTTTTCTCAACGCTGAATTCTTTGCTAGGAATACCTTTCCCATTTTGCCTGCCCAAACCTTATATGTTCTTTCAATGTATGCCTTTAGTTCTACTTCTGGTTTAGTAATCTCTCCTTCCCTAGATTCTTAGAAAATTTTTGTTTTCTCCACTACTCATTAGTCATCTCTTCCTCTCTTCCTTTACTCCATTTTCTTTCTCCATCCATTTTCCTTTTCCTCTTCCCCACTCTTCTGTCTTTCTCTTATTTAAATGTAATCAGATTGAATATGACAAACATGTTAGACTATGTGAGAGCAGGCACTTTATTATATACACCTTTGTTCCCATATAGAGCAAAGTATAGGATTCATTTATGTATTTCTAATTGATTGATTCTTACTATGAGCAGCTAAACTGTTCACAAACATGTTTTTAAAACCCTTTATTTTAGGTTATTGTATTATTTTACATAGATCAGAAGTACTAAGTAGGATCATAGGGTTTTCAGGGTTGAAAGAGTCTTAGAAATCATTCAAGGAAAACCCCTTTATTTTCCTAAAGAAAATAGGTCATGGTTAGTGAAATCCATTATCACTAAGCAAGGACTTATATCATTTTTTTTTTTTTACTTCTTCTCACTATGGTTGTTAGTGATTATAATTTTATCATACTGCTTTAAACTCAGTTTCATGTGCTGGTGTTATTTATTGGAGGCGACAATTGTAAAATTATCATTTGGATTACCATTAATAAGTTAGTGTTTATTAGCATGTGCATTTTGTGGAAAACTCTTAGGTCAGATTCACCTTTTGTGGTACAATAGTGTTTGAAAATGTGACTCCCAAAGATCTAATTTTAAGAGGATTACTCCTCTGCTCGTTGGAATCTGGTCTAATAAATTAGTATTAAAATCTTTTTCTTGGCCACTTAGGCTGTACACCACAGTTATTAAGATCATTGGATTCTAGAACTAGATTTCCTGTATTTGAATCCCAGCCCTGCCGCTTCCTGGCAGTGTGACCTGGGTTATGTTACTTAACCTCTCTGTGCTCTGATTTCTTATTTGTAAAATGGAGATAATTACAGTAACTATCTCATGGGTTACTGGGAGATTAAATGAATTAATACGTGTAAAGTGCTTAAAAGAGTGCCTGGCACAAAATAAGTGATACATATTTTAACTGTTTTTTTCTTTTACTAAAAGATGGCTAAATAATCCATGATAGTTTCCATTTAACTTTTCAGCCTAAGTAAGAGGATAGTTTATGCATGGCATCAGCTTCTGAGGGATTTGTTTCACTCCTCTATATTTTGAAGTTGTTTTTTTCCTTAGTGTTTATTACTGCTAAGGAATTCTTTTTACTAGTGCCTGTTACCATACAGTTTTCTTTTACACATAATTCTTTGTATGTGTTACGTGTTTTTTTTGTGTGTGTGTTCTTTTTTTTAAAAACAGTTTGATGTAATAATTCCACCTTAGTGACTTTTAAATAATTCCATGAGTTTGCGCTATACAAATGAGGGTAGTTTAGATGTGCACTTAACAGAAGCTATGGAATATAACCTGATACTTTGGTTATGTATTTCCACTTCACGTACCTTTAACTAATATTCATTTATGATCCTTTTCTAAATTATGATTGATTAAAAATACTAGACCATATAAATCCAAGTATGACCATACGGTGCTTTTAAGAATAACTGATCTCCCAGTAACGTGGTCTCAGTAAAATGTTCTCTTTTTTAATTATGTAGTCCTCTCCGCCATCCTCATCACAGCCTCATTCTAGCCACTGCAGAGCGAAGGCCTCATCATGGTGTCACCATGCATCCCTGCCCTGGGCCAAACGTAACCATGTAGGCCCTGCAAAGGCTACCAGTCCATCTCTCCGTCTTCGTCGCTGGCGACCCTTCTTACGCCTACCATCTTTGGGTCTCCATTCTGTTGTAAGTGTAGTCAATCTTCCATCTCTTCTTCCAGTGACAGGGGCAGTCCATTTTTTCCCTTAAACTTCTTCAGTCTTCAAAGCGCTTTTCTCTTGGTTCATCAACCATTAGCTTTTTCTCCCCCAGTAAGACTGCAAGCATACCTCTATGTTTTGCAGTCCAGCTTGACTCTCACCAGTGCCTTGGTGAACATCCATCTTTCCACTCCATATAACACCAACAGGTGCCTGCCTTTTGATGAGTGCTGATCGACATTCATGATAATGTTTAAGTTCCTGTCAGTTGTTAAAGTGAATATGTATTCTCTTACCCTTCATCTTTCCAATTTCATTTAGTTGACTCAGGTCAACAAATGCTGTGTATTGTCTGAGTTCTTTGCCATCTCTTACTTTATTTTTTTTCATGTTTCTGAACGTGACTTTAGTCTCTTGTCATGCTTTGGGGTTATTTTACTTACTCTATCCTTAATCTAAGCCTCCATGGTGTAGGGTGTTTCATCTAAGCTATTTTATTCCCTGAGGTGGCTCAGGTACTTGGTTTAATCTTGATCCAATCTTCCCTGCCTATTCAGTTTCTAAAGATCTTTTCTCAAGTAGGAGGTGACGATTTTTCTCCTTGTGAATTGATATAGACTTCCCACAAATTTTATAATTTCTCCTTTTTAAGTTGATAATATTAGCAAACTGTTAAAAAGTACATTTGTTCTTGTAATTGTGCTAATTACCTAATTACCTTAAATGTTGAGGTTGATGATAGAATTCTAATAATTCACATAATTGAAATAAGATGCAGGATGGCAACTATAGTTCTTGTCTTTCTGATGTTTTAGAAAATTAATGGTAATGACTATAGCTTGACAGAGCCTACCTAGAAATGCGACATCCGAAAGATTTGGTGTATGCCACACATTTATAAGAAACTTGACACTTCAGTAAATCATCGTGACTTTTGAAGCCAGAGGAAGTCTGATTACACATACTTTCATGCTTAAAAAAATTAAAAGTTGGTGTCAGACATTCTTTCCTTCCCCTTATTTACTCTTCTAGAGCTATTCTCAAACTATGAGGTGGAGTCTTGGCACTTTTCCTTAAACATCTGCTTCCACCAAATATCAGTATAGTCATCAAAATAGCCTTTCGTCCACAAACTGGTATCAACAAACTGGTGTCTCTCTATTTCATTATCCTCATTGGGTCACAACATGCGTTTGTCATATTTATCCATCTGATATTTATTGCTTCCCTACTGTGCCATACGCTGGCACAGTAGGAGACACAAGTGAATTAGATGATCAGAGTAAAACCGTAATTTTCTAAATTCTGACTTGGGCACAGTTGATTCCAAATAGGAATAAATTCCTTTGTACTTAAAAAATATTCTAAATATAAATGAACATGTCATAAAAATTGGCATTCTCAGTTTTATGTTTTTATGTAATATTGATCTTTTCCCCATGTTAATTCCATTGCTTTATAGCTTCATAAGTGTTTTCATAACCTAGTGGTTAAGAACATGGATTCTAGAATGACATTGCCTGGATTTGAAACCAGATTCTATCACTTACTAGCTTTGTGACCCAGAGCATGTTACTTAACACTTCTGTGCCTCAGTTTTCTTGAGAGTACAATGGGTATAACTATATTACCTACCTCATATGGTTTATATAACAATTAATTGGTCAGTTCTTATAAAGCACTTAGAACAGTGCCTGGTATATATTTAGTGCCACAATTATAAATTAAATTTAAACTGTTTTTTATAATTTGAAATTTTTATTTCGCATTTAGTTAATTTCTATCTAATTGATTTGTCACATCATTTTTTTAATCCTTCAAGGTAATAAGAAGTATGTTCTAAATTAAGAAACTTTGTAAAAAATAAGATATAAAAATGTAGGTAAAAATTATCTAATCTGTAGCTTCTGTTTTTTGCCTTTTGTTAGTTATTGGTCACTTTTTGAAACAGAAGACATACTGGAATTTGCTTTTTTTTTTTTTTTTTTTTTTTGCGGTACTCGGGCCTCTCACTGTTGTGGCCTCTCCTGTTGCGGAGCACAGGCTCCCAACGCGCAGGCCCTGCGGCCATGGCTCATGGGCCTAGCCGCTCCGCAGCATGTGGTATCTTCCTGGACTGGGGCACGAACCCGTGTCCCCTGCACCGGCAGGCGGACTCTCAACCACTGCACCACCAGGGAAGCCCTGGAATTTGCTTTTTATGTATTGTTCTTGTTTTCAGTGGAATAATGTTTAAGCAATTGCATAATTACAGATTTCAGACTCTGACTAATTGAAGTTGACCAAAGGAAAAGGCTTGTAATAGGTGCTGAGGTCTTGTGGAAGGTTTAGAAATTTTGAGCATTTATCTTTTATAATAGTTTGAAGGATTTTCATGCCCTCTTTGGCGTTTTGTATTTTTAGTATGCACTTTTGGTTAAAAGGTACAATGACTCACAATTTTGAGTCACTAGATTTAGTGACTTCTTACATTTTTAATAATGTAGTCTTAGTATTGTAATAACACATAATGTTTATATGACACTTAACAGTTTACAAAGTAGTTTCATGCATTTCGTTTAAACCTCAAAACAGATAAGAAACCCAGTGCTCACAGGGGTTGGGTACATATTCAGGTCTCTGGTTCTGGTTGTATTACTTTTATCTCTAGCACGGTTGTATTTACTGACAAAATGTAAAAACCAGATTAGAGGTATTATTCTTAAGAAGAGATGGTGTTAAAATAAGTAATAATTTTAAAGACATAGGAGCTCAAAAGATTTTAAATATACTTTATATCCTATTGGAGAATTATCTTAAAATAAGTAAATCAAGCCCCTTTCCTAGTTGGTTAAGGAATTTTTTGTAGTGTTCTTGTTATAGAATTGAATTTATAGTTTGTTGAATTGCCTAGATTTAACCTTGAAAAATTGGGTTCTCTCTGGTCATTGGTGAAATGGGGGTATTGGATTGAGTGATCATTAAAATCTTTGATTCTCTGACCAGTAAAATAAGGGAACTCATTATCACTGTCTTTAAGTGTTTGAAGAAATATCATGTTCGAGAGGGATTAGACTTTTTTAAGATGATGGAAGATATTGGGAAACATTTTTTGCCTCAGTATGAGGGATAATTCTAACAAAACTGTCAAAATGGAATGGACTGCCTGAAAACCTAGTGGCAGTTCCCTGTTGTTTGCGGGGATACCACAAGATGGGGCTACAATAGAGAGCAGTCTAGCATTGGAGCAACAGTAAAACTATGTAACTGTGATTCCTACCAACTGTGAAATTCTTTAGTTCTAGGCTGAATTTAGGAAGAGCTAGTTTGCCACAGCAATTTATGTTGCGTTGTTGCCATTCGTAATTCGAGGGCAATAATCCCCGAAGAATAAGATGAGGTTAGATAAGTCACTATCTGTAAATGCTTTAGAGGCATCCAGTAAATCCAAGATAGGAACGTTTGTTCTGTTCCTTTCAATTTCTGCATCTCAAAACTTCGTATTACTTAAAACTTAAAATTATATAATTACTTGAGGGTGAAAAAATAGAAATTTTAGAGTTGATACTGTTGTGTTACTTACTGGATATTAAGTAATATGAGATATAACTTGATTATGCCTCTTTAAAACTTTTGCCTCTAAAATCTGTACTTACATTTAACAGTGATTATATTTCATTTCAAACCATTTAGATTTGGTATATAGCTAACACATATTAGTGTTATCTGTGTAGTTACTATATATTGTAAACAGTGCCAGTTTATCATGTATTGACTTGCATAAGTTATTTGAATGTCTAAGAAATGTAGCACAAGTTGCTCATGCAAATTGAATTTGGCAAGCTAAAAAAACCTAGGTATAGTTTTAATATCAAATAGTTCACTGAGAAAACAAGAGAAAAATTGTAGGCTAAGTTAAATTTTACTTTAACTTGTTCAAGTTACTTTAACTTGTTCCCTTTTTCTCCTTTAATCTTTTGGGCTATTTTCCTGCTTCTCTTCGTTTTTTTTTTTTTTTTTTTTTTTTTGCGGTACGCGGGCTTCTCACTGCTGTGGCCTCTCCCGCTGCGGAGCACAGGCTCCGGACACGCAGGCTCAGCGGCCATGGCTCATGGGCCTAGCATGTGAGATCTTCCCGGACCAGGGCACGAACCCGTGTCCCCTGCATCGGCAGGCGGACTCTCAACCACTGCGCCACCAGGGAAGCCCTTCTCTTCGTTTTTAAACCTTTTGAATCTAGGATGAATAAAAATACTTATTTTATTCTAAGTCTATATTGCATTTTTCAAAAAAATGAGATTAAGTTTACATCATTAAGGGAAGAACTCACTTTCTTGATGTCCTAAAATTTAACTTGCAAAGAGTTTTTTAAACTCTGTTTATGCTATTATTAAACTTCTAAAAACTTTATTATTTCAAATTTCAGAAATTAGACAAATTAGTTCATGCATTCATTTCATTCAGCAAGTATACACTGTATACCTACTATGTATCAGGTGTTGTGCTAGGTGCTGGGCTTCCAGAGTGAACAAAACTTTAGGTTAAAGTCAATTGAGATTAAGAAAGGTGTGCCTTGAGTCAGTGTTTTCCTTGTTGATGGGCAAGCACATTTGTTATAAATGTAGGCATGTTCACTCTGTCCACTATATCAAAGATTAAGCCTTGAATTATATTGGATAAATATTTTTTCATGTCATTTGATATTATTTGTATGTGTTTACGTGTAGTTGATTGATTTGTTTGACTACTAATATATATAATATGTATTTTCCCCTCCTATTCCAGGCACCAAATATAGATGAAAAAGTAGATCTTCATTTTATTGCATTAGTTCATGTAGATGGGCATCTCTATGAATTAGGTAAGAACTATTTTAATTTATCCTGGGGAAAGAAATAGTAAATGGGGAAATCTGTATTTATGATAAACATGACTGTTGATATTTATTGTGTTTACCTAAATTAATTGATTACCATATAACATTGAGTTGGCATAATGGAAGTTTTCCATTTAAAAATTTTTACTAGAAAAAATAAATATGTTTTTGATGTTCAAGTAACTTATAATTTAAGAATTCCTGCATACCACCTTTGCATTTTAGCAAAGCAGGAAAATGCTTTGCTAAATCATTTAGGAGACTCCTGTAAATCACTTCAGCAGTCTTTACTAAATTTTTGAGTTGGTTATCATCAACATCTTGGATGAACGATCTTGATCCTGAAACTAGTTTTAAAACATAGCGTATTATTCATAATGACTAGTTTTTGTATTCAATAATGAGTATTACTAGTTTTCAGGCTTTTGTACTATCCCTTTTTTATCACATCTGATTTTTAAAAAGACTTTACAGGAGTCTGTGTTTTCTGGCAACAGTTCCCTAAGGCATGTGTCAAAGTAGCCATGATTAATTACTTGGTATTTTGGCCTATTCCTGCACTTACCTTTTAAAAGTTTAACTATAGGTGGACTACTTTAGTTTGTATTTGGAGGAGAGGATATTTTCATTGATAATTAAAGGATAATTAGAGGATAATTTTAGAGGATAATAACTCGAGGATAGTTTAAATTGATTCATTCAGGCAGAAGAAACTTTTATGATTCTTTCAAAATTGGTAGACAGTACTTATGAGTCCTTTTTGTCTTTCTGTCTGAGACCTTCTTTGATTAAAAAAGGCCGAATAAAGAAACAAAAAAGTGAAATCCTTTTCAATTTCTAGATACCATGATTTTTAGTTCTCTTTCTTCTCATTTGCTGTAAATGTTAACTTTTCACTTTCATTTTCCTTAACTTAAAGACTGAAGAGTTCCAAAAGGACTCTGATTGTGACTGTAAATGTGGTCCATAAAATTTAGATGGATTTTATATTTGGAATATGGCAACAGAATCATACACTTCATTAAAAAGAAGTGGCTCTATTAAAGGGGACAAGAAAAGGAATGTACATCCCTGTGGGTCATCTGCAATAGTAGAGTGATTTGAGTAGGAATCAGATAGTTGTCATCGGAGTATGTAACAGACTGCAGAGCGATTTGGAGCATATGCTTTGCTAATTCAGTCTCTAGAATCTACATAAAGATAGAATGTAATAGGGATTGGGGATTTCAAATGTCCGATTGCTGGAAGCTAGTTTCTGCTCTGAATTCTGAATAATAAAGAGTAACTAGTAGAAGTGGAAGTAAAGAGTGTGCTGAGACTTACAGACACATTCTGTTGACTTCAAGAAAGATTTAGGAGAGGCCAGAGGAGTGATAACTATCCATAACCAGAGACTATAAAAGTAATGGTGACCTTCAGAATGGGAGACTTCATAATAGAGCAAACAATAACGTCTAAAAGATATTCAGAAGAAAAACATCTCTGATCATCTCAGGGGAAGGAATGAGTTGTCTAAAAACCTCAGTTTGACTGATTAGCTAGCTTTCTGAGCTCAGAGACTAAAAGGGCAGTAGAAGGAAAGATGTGTATCCGGGATAGGCTACATATGCAGAATAGTTCTTTTTTGTAGCGTGCCAAGATCAGCACCAAAGTATTTTAAAATTGGTTTGAACTAAGAACATCAGAAAAGAAAGGCAGAACTACTGAGGTCTTGTTTGGTTCAAGTATTCTTTAGCAGGAAGAATGATCGATGTTGCTGATAGAGAATCAGAGCCCTTTGAGGATTACATTCTCTAAATGAGTTTAAAGAATTTCAGAGTTCTACAGAATAGCTGGAATCTTTGAGATGTTAGAGAGGACAGGGACGAATGCAAGACAAATGAAGATGGGCAGCTGCTGACTCATTGCAAGGGGAATTGGTGGTAGCCCTGACGCAAATTCCTAATAAAGTTAAAAGGAATGTTGAGCAAGAGGAGTATTGAGTTAGTGCATAGAAAACAGTGGGTAACAGAGCAGCATATGGTTTTTAAGAAAAAAGTCATTTCTGGGCTTCCCTGGTGGCGCAGTGGTTGAGAGTCCGCCTGCCGATGCAGGGGACACGGGTTCGTGCCCCGGTCCGGGAAGATCCCACATGCCGCGGAGCGGCTGGACCCGTGAGCCATGGCTGCTGAGCCTGCGCGTCCGGAGCCTGTGCTCCGCAACAGGAGAGGCCACAACAGTGAGAGGCCCGCGTACCGCAAAAAAAAAAAAAGTCATTTCTACATATCCTTATTTTAAAAAACCAGGCTATATAATTATAGACGTGGTGCAAGGTAATTTCTACAGGACAATTGTATAACAAAGGGTAGTGGTAGTCTTCAATGTATTCATTCTATACCTAATTGTAAGGTTAGCTGATGAAAGGGACTGAGTTATTCTCTTTCTATTATCACCTCTTGTCCTTAGGGCTTCATGTAGTTCTTGGCATATGTCCTGTTTATGTGTCCCTATCATTCTTTTGAGCACTTTCTAACTTTCTAGTAGAAAAACATTTCCTGGTTCATCCTTTGTTTTCCATGCCCCAGCCCTGTGTTCAGCCACTTCTCCAAGGAGCCCTGGTTCCTTTTATTGGAAAATGATGATTAGAACCAAGACCTGGGTGCTAAGTGTGTTAATTGCTATTAAGATATCATTACTTCTAGGCTTTCTCAGAGGACAGAGCTAGGAAATATTTGTCTGTATTATATACATAGACACATGTATGTGAATATGGATATACATACACACACAATTATATATTAAAAAGCATTTATTTACATCCACATTTATAATTCTAACCTAATAATATACAGTTTATTCTAGTGTTATCCATATTTGTGACTTCCTTTTCTGAACATGGGAAATCTAGCTCTCATTATCCTTCATTTCTTTTCTGATTTACGCATTCCCCTGGTATATAAACAAGCTCTTGACCACCCCAGCCCAAAGCTCTGTTCCAGACACACTGCTTCCCGCCCCCAGCTGGCCCACGGATCCTGGCCTGGTCCCAGACAAAGAGCAACAGCTCGCCAAAGTGTGTAGCTACCTTCTTCCTGGCATTGTGCAAACTCCACCTGCCTCAGCCTCCTTGAACTCTGCTCTTTCCCCTCAGTCTCCTAAGTGAGGCTGCTGTAGGCTGCTTGGGTTTTCCTTTCCGGCACTGGCAGATAAGTGGACATTGCTGTTAGGCTTGCTAACAGTTCTGGGCTACCTGTTTCCCAATCTATAAAACAATGGTTTCAGATATCTTGTCCAGGTCTTTAGTTGTTTCCAGTGGAAGGCCTAGTCCAGTACATTATTTCATTCTGGCTAGAGGTGGAAGTTACCTAATGTTATTCCTTGGCTTCCCACAATGAAGATAATCTAGCTTTCCTTTGTCACCCTCTTTACCTACCTCTCCCTCCCAATCACAAAATACATGGTTTACTTTTTCCTGTTCTTCCAGTGTTGTTATAGTTGTTTATATTCTTATGACTACAGAAATACTATTCTCAGATGAGCCATAGTCAATGTACTTTTCTTTTTAACTTTTTTATTTCTTCAGATTTCATAATTGTCCTGTTTTGCTTTTTGGTTTGGTTAATTTTCACTCATATTTTCTTTAAAAGTAGTATCTTTTAGTCCAGGTCTATCACTATGTATACATATTGATTCAAAGCTTTTTATTATGTTTAGAAGCCATGAAATTACAGAGGGAGTTGTGTTTTATGGCTTGAACTTGATGTGCCACTTATAAAACATCTGAAATTATAGGCTTGTATAGAGAGTATCAGTTAACTTTGGGTTAGCAGGAGTTTATATAATTCTGGACTTTTTCGTTTTTCATAGTGTTGAAAAAGTACTAGTTTATTCAAGGTGATACTGATTACTTTTGGTGGTCAGTAAAATAATCCTAGGTGATGTAGATTGTTGCTCTGTACTCCTACCTTGGTACACAATTAGTAGTAGTAATATATAAACCTTGTAGTGGCTTCCTTTCATTGGTATAAACATGTCAGTCTTACTTAGGAGCTTTCATCAGAAGGCTTTAAAGTGAAGAAAGAAAGTTTTTATATTTCTGATGGTCATAACTTTTGAAAAGCTGACATTAATTTTGCATATTCTTTTTAGGAAATTAAAGCCAATAGTATATATTTCTAATAATGTCTGTTTGTGAAGATAATATAGGCCTTCAAACATGGAAACAAGGTTCTAAATAACTATTGGTGTTAAAAATATTCGTAGGTAGCATACTTAAAGTGTTTGTTTTAGGATATATTATTTTATCTTTTAACTTTTGCCTCACTGTGGGAAGAGGAAAATGGATGTTGAAAGTACATTATCCTGTCATTCTTAATTAAGGAGGACTAAAGAGATAGGATAACTAAATAGAATATGTGATTCTTGATTAGATCCCACATAAAACAAAACAACATGGATAAAGGATATTTCTGGGTGAATTGGAAAAATTTGTACGTGAAATACATGTTGTTAATTGTTTATAGTATTAAAAAGAAAGAAAGAAAGTACATTATCCTATGCAAACAACTAACCATTCACCTGTTCATGTATTTTCCACAGATGGACGGAAACCATTTCCAATTAACCATGGGGAAACTAGTGATGAAACTTTATTAGAGGTAACAATAAAACTTGTTGGCCCACCTTCAGTGTCATTAATGTTCTTGTTATCTTTAAAACATCTCTAAAGATAACGGGTATAGGACTTCCCTGGCAGTCCAGTGGTTAAGACTCCACACTTACACTGCAGGGGGCACAGGTTTGATCCCTGGTCAGGGAATTAAGATCCCGCATGCCATGTGGCATGGCAAAAATAAATAAAAGATAACTGGTATAACATTTTTCTGTATTTCTCCTTATCCTGGCTCTCTTGAGAAAATCCAAAAAGAAAAATTTGAACTAGCGTTAAAAATCTACAGCAAATAAAGAAGTTTGCAGAGCTCTTTGTGTGAACAAGCATCAAATTTGAAAAAGACAAGAATAGTATTGAAAGAGATGCACATCATATCCCATATTTCATTAAATCCAAGATACCATCATTTATATCTTGATCTTAGAGATTTTTAAATTTACAAACAAATTTTATGGCTTAGAATCAATAAAATATGTAATTTTCATGTTAAAAGTTTCTTAAAAGCATTTTAAGAAAGGACACTTAGCAGATCTTATACTTTCGTACTAATCAAATTAAACCACCAGCCATTCACTCTTCTAGTGTCCTTTAAGTTATTTTTTATTTGAGAAAAGAAGTCTGCAGTATAAAATTAGTATGGATTAGGAAAACGTGAAACATTTATTTATCAGTTTTAAGTAAAACACGTTTTTAAATTGAAAGATTATGTATCTTTTTTCCCTATAGGATGCCATAGAAGTTTGCAAGAAGTTTATGGAACGTGACCCTGATGAACTGAGATTCAATGCCATTGCTCTTTCTGCAGCTTAGCTTGTCCAGAATGGAAACACCAAATACTGTATTATTTGCAACAAAATTAAATTTCTTCTGCCATACACTAACTCAAAAATTTTGATATTTTCATTAACTTGACTGATTAAACTTTATGTGAACTAAGCTTTGGCTTAATCTGTGTTTTATATTATTTTTGCCTCAAATTAACACTGCAGTTCTTCTGTTTCTTTCTTATGAAGGATTTACCTTATTGGATGACTAGCTGTATCTTTCTTACTCTCTTTGAATTTCATGGGAGATTCTGTATTGGGACACAGGCACAATTTCCATCTGCATAGTATGAACATATATCATATTTATTTAGCAAACATTTGGTTAGCATCTACTTTTAATGAGCTGAACACTGTTCTAGGCGCTGGAGTTACAGCAGTGAACACTGTGGGCAAGTTTCTTAGTCACGGAGCTTACGTTCTTGTGAGAATAGACAGATGATAAGCACATTAATAAGATACATACCAATAATGACTGCTATGCAGAAATTAAAGTCGGATTTGTGTTAGAGAGTGACTGAGTGGATACTTTAGATTTTTGTGGTTAGGGAAGGCTTCTGTGAGAGGTAACTTTGAAGTTGAGATCTGAATAGCGAAAAGTAGCCAGTCATAGAAATGGGAGAAGAGGGGAGAGTGGTGGGGAGAATAGAGGGAATAATTAATGCAGAGTCCCTAAAGTAGGCAAGTCTCACTGTGTTGTAGGACCAGAAAAAAAGGTTCATATGACCAGAGCGTTGAAAATAATGGGAAGATAACAAGAGATGAGGTCAGAGTGGGAGGGCTTAGTGATATAGGAATATGGGAAAAGGAATTTGGATTTATTGCAGGTGTGATGGTAAGCCATTGGAGTGTTTTAAGCAGGAGAGTGACCTGATTTGGTTTATAATTTTATATCACTGACTACTCTGTGGATAATATATTGGGGAGGGGGATAAGAATAGGGGTAGAGAGACGTGAGGAACCCACTGCTTTAGTTAAGAGACAGTGATGGCTAGGGTCTTAAAATTAGTAGTAATTTAGATTGAGGTATGTGAGTGAATTTGGGGTGTGTTTTGAAAAAGAAGGGGCTTCAGTTAAGTCTTAAAGGATAAGGTGGAAGGCAGTGGAAAGGTGGAAGAGTATTTGAAGAGTTAACGTCAAAACACGGTTGGTGTGATGGTCCATCTTTTCAGGAGAATATTGGTTACACAGGTGTATACATTTAGCAAAACTCATTGAACTCTTACTTCACTATATATACACTTTACCCCCCCAAAACAAAACAACAATTAAAAAAAAAACAGAAAACAGAGCAGAGATGGGGTGGAATGAGTATAGCAGAAGATCAGATTGGTCCAGAATGAAGTTCTGAACCCGTAGAATTGAATGTAGATGTTTTATACGTGCTTCACTGAGTTAGGGTGGATTCCTGAGGCTGCAACATGAAATAAGTGGTATTTTAAGAATCTAAAAAAGAGGGACTTCCTTGGTGGTCCAGTGGTTAAGACTCTGTGCTCCCAACGCAGGGGGCATGGGTTCGATCCCTGGTCAGGGAACTAAGATCCTGCGTGCCACGTGGCACAGCCAAAAAAAAAAAGAATCTAAAAAAGTGGATATATATATATATATATATATATATATATATATATGTATGTATAACTGATTCACTTTGCTGTACAGCAGAAACTAACAGAACATTGTAAACCAGCTATACTCCACTAAAAATTAATTTTAAAAAAGAAATGGTCAGTAACTTGATGCAGGTGTTAACACTATGGTAATTATTTTGCAATATATAAATGCATTAAATAAATTGTACACCTTAAAAAAAAGTTGAATAAATTAGCTGTTTGTTATTTAAAGTGTGGTTACATCAGTATTACTTGGGGAGCTTGTTGGAAATGAAGAATTTCAGACCCCACCCTTTACCTACTGAATCAGAATCTGTGTTTTCAGCAAGATCCCTGAGTGATTCATATTAAGTCTGGGAAGCACTGGATCAGAAAAAATAGACTATGATGAGGTCACTTTGGACGTATCTGAAGAGGGCCTGAATGAAGTGTTGGCAATAGGGATGAAGAAATAATCTGAAACAATGCTGTAAATGGATAGTATATAGAGATGATGCTTTGGCATGCCAATAACAACAACAAAGTGTTCGGGTTTTTTGTTACATTGTTTGCATTTTGTCCTCAAATTTATCTTGTGTATCACCTTAAATATTTTAAACATTCCTAAGCAGTGTTCTGCCTGTTGCCTTGCTGGATTTCTCCTACATAATTTCTTTTTTTTTTTTTTATAAATTTATTTATTTTTGTCTGCATTGGGTCTTTGTTGCTGCACACGGGCTTTCTCTAGTTGCGGCGAGCGGGGGCTACTCTTCGTTGCGGTGCATTGGCTTCTCATTGCGGCGGCTTCTCTCGTTGCGGAGCACGGGCTCTAGGCGCGCAGGCTCAGTAGTTGTGGCGCCCGGGCTTAGTTGCTCCACGGCGTGGGGGATCTTCCCGGACCAGGGCTCGAACCCATGTCCCCCGCATTGGCAGGCGGATTCTTAACCACTGCGCCACCAGGGAAGTCCCATAATTTCTTAATAGATTCTTAATCAGTGACATGTTAGCAAGAATTTACATAGTTTCTCAAAGTTTTCTAGGTTGAGTACTATTAAAAAAAATTTTTTTTATTGAGGTATATTTGATTTACAATATTAGTTTTAGGTGTCAAACATAGTGATTCAAAATTGTTATGGATTGTACTCCATTTAAAATTATTATAAAATATTGGCCATATTTCATGTGCTGTACAATATATCCTTGTCGGTTATTTATTTTACACATAGTAGTTTGTATCTCTTAATCCTATACCCCTATTTTGCCCTTCCTCCCTTCCCTCTCCCTACTCCCCACTGGTAACCACTAGTTTGTTCTGTATATCTGTGAGTCTATTTCTGTTTTGTTATATTCATGCCTTTGTTTTATTTTTTTAGATTCCACATATAAGTGATAACGAACAGTATTTGTTTTTCTCTGCCTGACATTTCACTAAGCATAACGCCCTCTAGGTCTATCAATGTTGCAAATGGCAAAATGTCACTTTTTATGGCTGGGTAATATTCCATTGTATATATACCACATCTTCTTTATCCATTAATCTGTTGATATACACTTTGGCTGCTTTCATATCTTGGCAATTGTAAATAATGCTGCTATGAACATTGGGGTTCATTTATCTTTTGAATTAGTGTCTTTGTTTTCTTCAGGAAAACTACACCCAGGAATGCAGTTGCTGGCTCATATGGCAGTTCTATTTTTAGTTTTTTGAGGAGCCTCCATACTATTTTCCCCAGTGTCTGCACCAGTTTACATTCCCACCAAATATATGAGGGTTTCTTTTTCTCCACATCCTCACTAACATAGATTATTTGTGGTCTTTTTGATGATAGCCATTCTAAGAGACATGAGGTGATACCTCATTGTGGTTTTGATTTGCATTTCCCTGATGATAAGCAACGTTGAGCATCTTTTCATGTGCCTGTTGTCCATTTGTATGTCAAGTTCTGGGTCATTTCTGTATGTTGCTGTTAAGAACCATAATATGTTTTGGGGAAATGGGACTGACTAAAATGAAACTTTAAATTTTTTCTTGGTGGACTTTTGAGAGCTGACTAAACATCACCTTTCAGCAGGTGTAATTATTTGCTTTAAATTATTGAAACAGAGGAGCATTTATAAACTCTATAATATTTAACCCCTAATATATTGTGTTCATTTGTGACTAAAACAGAAGTTATCTGTATTTTATGGTGAATCAAATTTTAATATATCTTAAATGCAAACGATCTTTTTTCTTTTTTGCAAACGATCTTTAATTCTGTAAAAGTTATTTAAACAAAGATCTGATTTAAATTTAATTTCCATCTTAGATTTGTGTACAGTATTTATTAGGTAAGCTTTATAATTGGGTTGTGTATAACATAAACCTGCTTATTTCATGTAATGAAAATATAGTTTAAGCGGTTTTTAGCCATTAATGTTTTTTTAAATAAATTTATTTTATTTTATTTATTTTTGGCTGCATTGGGTCTTCGTTGCTGCGTGTGGGATATTCTCTGGTTGTAGCGAGCGGGGGCTACTCTTCATTGTGGTGCGCAGGCTTCTCGTTGTGGTGGCTTCTCTTGTCGCGGAGCACAGGCTCTAGGCATGCGGGCTCAGTGGTTGTGGCACATGGTTTCAGTAGTTGTGGCTCACAGGCTCTAGAGCGCAGGCTCAGTAGTTGTGGCGCACAGGCTTAGTTGCCCCGCAGCATGTGGGATCTTTCCGGACCGGGGCTCGAACACGTGTCCCCTGCACCACTGTGCCACCAGGGAAGCCCCTAGCCATTAATGTTTGACTACTACTATAGTTTTCAAAAGAAGCATCTATAGGCTTAAGATTCCTATGTTGATGCTTATAAGAAAATTGCAAAGAGGCATATTTTCATTACTTTTTAAAAACTTCTATTTATAGAAATTTATTTCTTTTAGGGAAAGTTTACATACATGTATATAGGTGTATTTACAGCCACACATGCATATATATATGCATGTGTGGGTGTATATACATTATCTGGAAATTAATAAGTATATATGTGTATATATGTATGTACATATGCATATATGTGCATGTATATATATGTACATACACATTCATACCTTGAATAGGAAAATAACTTTGGTCTAAATTCTCTGCATATTATTAAAATCCCTGACTGAAGTTAAAGTAAAACCAGTTTGAAAAGTGTGTAATCATTGTGAAGGTTTTTAGAGATAATTTAGATGGATTTGTACGCATATAAAGTTTAATAATGTTTTAATCTTACAGAATTCTCTGGCAAGGTCTTAAAATGAGGTTCCTTGTGCTCGCAACAGAATTACTACCAAAAACCAAGTGTGGAATACACTGAGTTTTCAGATAGCAGAAAATAAGTTTTGTCACTGCCTTTGTTCCTTTTGATTTCAAATTTTGACCGCTTACAAGCATAAACTATTGTGATTTGGAAGATCCAGTGTCCTAAGGGCATTTTTTTTCTTGGTGCCAATGGTGTCAGTAGATGAGACCAGTCCACCATGCCTTAGTTTCACATAAATTCTTACTTGTTT